GTGGCTTCGGGTTGTGTCTGGGGTCAGGGGTCAGTGGCTTCAGGCTCAGGCTTCAGTGGCCTGTGTGTCGTGGCCTGTGGCTCAGTGGCCTGTGGCCCAGGCCTGGTGTCAGCTCGGGCCTGTGGCCTGTGGCCCAGGGCTCAGGCTCAGTGGCCTGTGGCTCTGGGCTCAGGCCTGGCCTGTGGGCTCAGTGGCTCAGGCCTGTGGCCTAGGCTCAGTGGCCTAGGGCTCGTGGCCTGGGGGTCAGGGCTCCAGGGTGGTCTGTGTGGCCCAGGGCTCAGTGGCCATGTGGCCTGGTGGCCTGGGCTCAGTGGCCTGTGGCTCTGTGGTTCAGTGGCTCTGTGGCTCAGGCTTCAGTGGCCTGTGGCCTAGGCCTGGGGGCCTGTGTCAGGGTGGCCTGGGGTGGCCTGTGGCCTGAGGGCCTAGGGCCGAGGGTCGAGGCCTGAGGCTCAGGGTCGAGGGTCGTAGGCCGGGTGGTCGAGGGTCTAGGCCTGGTGGCTCAGGCTCAGTGGTCGAGGGCTCAGGGTCCAGGGCCCAGGGCCACGAGGGCCAGGTCGAGGCCTGTAGGTCAGGGCTGTAGTGGCTCGAGGTCGAGGGCTCGAGGCTCAGTGGCCGGCGGCCCAGGGTCAGTGGCTCAGTCGGTGGCCCAGGCGGCCGAGGCCTGGCAGGGCCCAGGGCCTGGTGGCCGGCGGCCAGTGCGGCTGTGTGGCCTGCAGGGCCTAGTGGCTGGGGCCAGTGGCCTCAGTGGCCTGCAGGGTTCGAGGGCCGGGCTGGCTCAGTGGCTCAGTGGTCGAGGGGCCCGGGGCTCCAGGGCCTAGGGCTCAGTGGCTCGAGTGGCTCAGTGGCCTGGGGTCGGGGCCGAGGGTCGGTCGGGGTCTAGGCTCAGTGGCCAGTGGCTCGAGGGCTTCGAGGGCCAGTGGCTTCAGTGGCCGAGGCCTGTGGCCTGGTGGCTCAGTGGGCTCAGTGGCCTAGTGGCTCGTGGGCTCAGTGGCTTCAGGGCCTGTGGCTCAGGGCTCAGTGGCTCAGTGGCCTAGGCCTGTGGCTCGTGGGCTGCAGGGCTCAGGGCCAGGGCTCGGTGGCCTCGGGTCTGAGGCTCGGTGGCCGTGGCTCAGGTGCTCAGTGGCCTAGTGGGCCTAGGCTCGTGGCTCAGTGGGCCCAGTGGCCAGTGTCAGGGTCTCGGGCTCAGGGTCGTAGGGCCAGTGGCTCAGTGGCTCGGGGTTTCAGGGTCTAGGGTCTCAGTCGGCCTAGGGCTCGTGGCTGTGGCTCAGGTTTGTGTGGCTTAGTGGCTTCTAGGGCTTCTAGGGTCAGTGGCTCGGGCTGGGTTCAGGGGCTCGGGTTTAGGCTCGTGGTTTGTGGCTCAGTGGTCTAGGGTTTAGTGGCTTAGTGGTTTGTGGCTCTGTGGTTCTGGTTTAGGTCTAGGGCTTTGTGTGGTTTGGCTGTCAGGTTTGCCTGTGGTTCGAGGTTCAGTGGCTTGTGGGTTTGGGGTTCAGTGGCCTGGGGTCTGTAGGTTTAGGGTTTAGGTTTGGTGGCTCGTGTCAGTGTGCCTAGGCTCTGGGGCTTGTGGCCTGGGGTCAGTGGCTCAGGTCGAGGGCCGAGGGTCGAGTGGCCGAGTGGCCTGAGGCTTCAGGTGTGGCCGAGGGCCGAGGGTCGAGGGCCTGTGGCTCGAGGGCCGAGGGCCGAGGGCTCAGTGGCTCAGTGGCTCAGGCTCTGTGGCCGAGTGGCCGAGGTCGTGGCTCAGGGCCTGAGGGTCGAGTGGCCGAGGGCCGAGGGCCGAGGGCTCGAGGGCTCGGGTGGCCGAGGGCCGAGGGCTCGAGGCTCTCGAGGCTCAGGGCCTGGTGGCCGAGGCCGAGGCTCGAGGCTCGGGGCTCAGTGGCCTCAGGCCGGCTCGAGTGGGTCCGAGTGGCCTCGGGCCTAGGGCTCGAGGGCTCGAGGGCTCAGGGCCTAGGCCCGGGGCCCGGGGGCTCGGGCTCAGGGCTCAGTGGCCTGGGCCTAGGCTCAGGGCCTGGGGCTCAGGGCTAGGCCTGTGGCCTCGTGGGCCTAGGGCTCAGGGCCTGGTGGCCTAGGGCTCTGGGCCTGTGGCTCAGCCTGGGCTCAGTGGCCTGTGGCCTGTGGCCTAGGCCTCAGGGCCTAGGCCTGGGGCCTGGGGCCCAGTGGCTCAGTGGCCTAGGGCCTCAGGGCCTGTGGCCTGTGGCCTGGTGGCCCAGGGCCTGTGGCCTGTGGCCTGGGCTCAGGGCCCAGGGCCTGTGGCCTGTGGCCCAGGCTCAGTGGCCCAGGGCCTGTGGCCTAGTGGCCTGGTGGCCTAGTGGCCTGTGGGCTCAGTGGCTCAGGCTCAGTGGCCTGTGGCCCAGGGCCCAGGGCTCAGTGGCTCAGGGCCTGTGGCCTGTGGCCTGTGGCTCAGGCTCAGGCCTAGGCCTGTGGCCCAGGGCCTAGGCCTGTGGCCCAGGGCTCAGTGGCCTGGGCTCAGTGGCCTGTGGCCTAGGCTCAGTGGCCTGGTGGCCTGTGGCTCAGTGGCCCAGGCTCAGTGGCCTGGTGGCCCAGGCCTAGTGGCCTGTGGCTCAGGGCCTAGGGCTCAGTGGCCTAGGCCCAGGGCCCAGGGCCTAGGCCTGTGGCCTGTGGCCTAGTGGCCTGTGGCCTAGGGCCTAGTGGCCTGGGGCTCAGTGGCCTAGGGCCCAGGGCCTGTGGCCCAGGCCTGTGGCCTGGGGCCCAGTGGCCTGGTGGCCTGGGCTCAGGGCTCAGTGGCCCAGGGCCCAGGGCCTGTGGCCTAGTGGCCCAGGGCCTGGTGGCCTAGGGCCTAGGGCCTAGGCCTAGGCTCAGTGGCCTGTGGCCCAGGGCCCAGTGGCCTAGTGGCCCAGTGGCCTGGTGGCCTAGGGCCTGGTGGCCTGTGGCCTAGTGGCTCAGGGCCCAGGCCTAGGCCCAGGGCCTAGGCCTGTGGCCCAGGGCCTCAGGGCCCAGGGCCTAGTGGCCCAGGGCCTAGGCTCAGGGCCCAGGCCTCAGTGGCCTGTGGCCTGTGGCCTAGGGCTCAGTGGCCTGTGGCCCAGGGCTCAGTGGCCTGTGGCCTGTGGCCTCAGGGCTCAGTGGCCTCAGGCCCAGGGCCCAGGCCTGTGGCCTGTGGCCCAGGCCTCAGTGGCCCAGGGCCTAGGGCCTGTGGCCTCAGGGCCCAGGGCCCGTGGCCTCAGGCCTGCGGCTCAGGGCCTGTGGCCTAGGGCCCAGTGGCCTGTGGCCTGGTGGCCCAGGGCTCAGTGGCCCAGGCCCAGGGCCTGTGGCCTGTGGCCTAGGCTCAGTGGCCTAGTGGCCTGTGGCCTAGTGGCCTAGTGGCCCAGGGCCTCAGGCCTGTGGCCTAGGCCCAGGCCTCGGCCCAGGCCTGTGGCCCAGGCTCAGTGGCCTGTGGCCCAGGGCCTGTGGCCTGTGGCCTAGGCCTAGTGGCCCAGTGGCCTGTGGCCTAGGGCCTCAGGGCTCAGGCCCAGTGGCCTGGTGGCTCAGTGGCCCAGGGCTCAGTGGCCTGTGGCCTAGTGGCCTGGTGGCTCAGGGCTCAGGCCTGTGGCCCAGGCCTGTGGCCCAGTGGCTCAGGGCCCAGGGCTCAGGCTCAGTGGCTCAGTGGCCCAGGCTCAGTGGCCCAGTGGCCCAGGCCCAGGGCCTAGGGCCCAGGCCTGTGGCCCAGGCCTGTGGCCCAGGGCTCAGGCCTAGGCTCAGTGGCCTGTGGCCTAGTGGCCTAGTGGCCCAGGGCCTGTGGGCCCAGGGCTCAGTGGCCTGTGGCCTAGGCCCAGGGCCCAGGGCCCAGGGCCCAGGCCCAGGGCCCAGGGCCCAGGGCCCAGGCCTGTGGCCCAGTGGCCTGTGGCCCAGGGCCTAGGGCCTGTGGCCTAGGCCCAGGGCCTGTGGCCTAGTGGCCCAGGGCTCAGGGCTCAGGGCTCAGGGCTCAGGGCCTAGGCCTAGGGCTCAGGGCTCAGTGGCCTAGGCCCAGGGCCTGTGGCCCAGGGCCTAGGCCTAGGCTCAGGGCTCAGGGCTCAGGGCTCAGGCCTGGGCCCAGGGCCTAGGGCCTAGTGGCTCAGGGCTCAGGCCTGTGGCTCAGGGCCTAGGGCTCAGGGCCCAGGCCTGTGGCCTAGGCCCAGGCCTGTGGCCTGTGGCCTAGTGGCCCAGGGCCTAGGGCCTAGGCCTGGGCTCAGGGCTCAGTGGCCTGTGGCCCAGGGCTCAGTGGCCTAGGGCTCAGGCTCAGGGCCTAGGCCCAGGGCTCAGTGGCCTGTGGCCCAGGGCCTGTGGCCTAGTGGCCTGTGGCCTAGGGCCCAGGCCTGTGGCCTGGTGGCCTGTGGCCTAGTGGCCCAGGCCTCAGGGCCTAGGCCCAGGGCTCAGTGGCCTGTGGCCTAGTGGCCCCAGGGCTCAGTGGCCCAGGCTCAGGCCCAGGCCTGGGGGCCCAGGGCCTGGTGGCCTAGGGCCTGTGGCCTGTGGCCCAGGGCCTAGGCTCAGTGGCCCAGGGCCCAGGGCCTCAGTGGCCTAGGGCCCAGTGGCCTAGTGGCCCAGGGCTCAGGGCCCAGGGCCTGTGGCCTAGCGGCTCAGGGCTCAGGGCCTGGTGGCCTGTGGCCTCAGTGGCTCAGTGGCCTAGGCTCAGTGGCCTGGGCCCAGTGGCCTGTGGCCCAGGGCCTAGGGCCCAGGCCCTGGGCCCAGGGCCTCAGTGGCCCAGTGGCCTAGGCTCAGGGCTCAGGCCTGTGGCCTGTGGCCTGTCAGGGCTCAGGCTCAGTGGCCCAGGCCTGGTGGCTCAGGGCCCAGGCCTGTGGCCTAGTGGCCTGGGGCCTGTGGCCCAGGGCCTGTGGCCTGTGGCTCTGTGGCTCTAGGCCCTGGGCCCAGGGCCTAGGGCTAGGCTCAGGGCCTCAGGGCCTGTGGCCCAGGGCTCAGTGCCTGGCCTAGGCCTAGGCTCAGGCTCAGGCCCAGGCCTAGTGGCCTAGTGGCCCAGTGGCCTGGGCTCAGGCCTAGGCCTAGGCCTAGGCCTGTGGCCTGTGGCCTAGGGCTCAGGGCCTGTGGCCTAGTGGCCTAGGCCTAGGCTCAGTGGCCTAGGCCTGGTGGCCTGGTGGCCTGTGGCCCAGGCCCAGTGGCCCAGGCTCAGGCCCAGGGCCCAGGGCCCAGGGCCCAGGGCTCAGGCCTGTGGCCCAGGCCCAGGGCCCAGTGGCCCAGGGCCTGTGGCCCAGGCCTGTGGCCTGTGGCCCAGGGCCTAGGCCCAGGGCCTGTGGCCCAGGGCTCAGTGGCCCAGGGCCCAGGCCTGCAGGCTCAGGCCTGGTGGCCCAGGCTCAGTGGCCTGGGCCTAGGGCTCAGGGCCTAGGCTCAGGTCAGGGCTCAGGGCCTGTGGCCTGTGGCCCAGGGCCTAGTGGCCCAGGGCCTGTGGCCTAGGCTCAGGGCCTGTGGCCTAGGGCTCAGTGGCCTGTGGCCCAGGGCTCAGGCCTGTGGCCCAGGGCCCAGGGCCTGTGGCTCAGGGCTCAGGGCCTGTGGCCTGTGGCCTGGTGGCCCAGGGCCTGTGGCCTGTGGCCCAGGCCTAGGCCTAGGCCCAGGGCCCAGGGCCTGTGGCCTGTGGCTCAGTGGCCTAGTGGCCTAGTGGCCTGTGGCCTGGTGGCCCAGGGCTCAGGGCCTGTGGCCTGTGGCCTAGTGGCCTAGGCCTAGGGCTCAGGGCCTCAGGCCTAGGGCTCAGGGCCTGGTGGCTCAGTGGCCCAGGCTCAGTGGCCCAGGGCTCAGGGCCTAGGCTCAGGGCCTAGTGGCCTGTGGCCTGGGCAGCTCAGGGCCTAGGCCTGTGGCTCAGGGCCTGTGGCCCAGGGCCCAGGGCTCAGGCTCAGTGGCCCAGGGCTCAGGCTCAGTGGCTCAGTGGCCTGTGGCCCAGGGCCTCAGGCCCAGGGCTCAGGGCCCAGTGGCCTGTGGCTCAGGGCTCAGTGGCCTGGGGCTCAGGGCCTGTGGCCTGTGGCCCAGGCCTAGGGCTCAGGGCCCAGGGCCCAGGCCCAGGGCCTGGTGGCCCAGGGCCCAGGGCCTAGGCCCAGGGCCCAGGCCTGTGGCCTGTGGCCTAGTGGCCTGGGCTCAGTGGCCTAGGGCCTAGTGGCCTAGGCTCAGTGGCCCAGGGCCTAGGCCCAGGCTCAGTGGCCTGTGGCTCAGGGCCTAGGCCTGGTGGCCTGTGGCCCAGGGCCCAGGGCTCAGGGCTCAGGGCCCAGGCTCAGTGGCCCAGGGCCTAGGGCTCAGTGGCTCAGGGCTCAGGGCTCAGGCTCAGGCTCAGTGGCCCAGGCCCAGGGCTCAGGGCTCAGGGCTGCCTGTGGCCCAGTGGCCCAGGGCTCAGTGGCCTGGGCCTAGGCCTGTGGCTCAGGCCTGCAGGCCCAGGGCCTAGTGGCCCAGGGCCTGTGGCCTGGTGGCCTGGTGGCCCAGGGCTCAGTGGCCTGTGGCCCAGGCCCAGGGCCTAGGCCTGTGGCTCAGTGGCCCAGGGCTCAGGGCTCAGGGCCTGTGGCCTAGTGGCCTAGTGGCCTCAGGCTCAGTGGCCCAGGGCTCAGTGGCCCAGGGCTAGGCCCAGTGGCCCAGGGCCTGTGGCCCAGGGCCCAGGCCCAGGGCCCAGGGCCTAGGCCCAGGGCTCAGGGCCCAGGGCCTGTGGCCTAGGCCCAGGCCTGTGGCCCAGGGCCTAGGCTCAGTGGCCTGTGGCTCAGTGGCCCAGGGCCTAGGCCTGTGGCTCAGGCCTAGGCCTGTGGCCTAGTGGCCCAGGGCCTGTGGCCTGGGCTCAGGGCCCAGTGGCCTGTGGCCTGTGGCCTGTGGCCCAGGGCCCAGGGCTCAGTGGCCCAGGGCCTGTGGCTCAGGGCCCAGGCCTGTGGCCCAGGGCTCAGGGCCCAGGGCCTAGGCCTGTGGCTCAGGGCTCAGTGGCTCAGTGGCCTAGGGCTCAGTGGCCTGTGGCCTAGGGCCCAGGGCCTAGTGGCCTGTGGCCTAGGCCTGGTGGCCCAGGGCCCAGGGCCCAGGCCTAGGCCCAGGGCTCAGGCCTGTGGCCTGTGGCTCAGTGGCCCAGGCCTGTGGCCCAGGGCCTGTGGCTCAGTGGCCCAGGGCTCAGTGGCCTGTGGCCCAGGCCCAGGCCCAGGGCCTAGGCCCAGGCCCGTGGCTCAGGCCTGTGGCCTAGTGGCCCAGTGGCCTGTGGCCCAGGGCCTGTGGCCCAGGGCTCAGGGCCCAGGGCCTGTGGCCTAGTGGCCCAGGCCTGTGGCCTAGGCTCAGTGGCCTGTGGCCTAGTGGCCTAGTGGCCTAGGCCCAGGCCTAGGCCTGGGCTCAGTGGCCTGTGGCCTGTGGCCCAGGGCCCAGGGCCCAGGGCCTAGGGCCTGTGGCCTGGTGGCCTAGGGCTCAGGGCTCAGTGGCCTAGTGGCCTCAGTGGCCTGGGCCTGGGCCTGTGGCCCAGGGCTCAGGGCCTCAGTGGCCCAGGGCCTGGTGGCCCAGTGGCCCAGGGCCCAGTGGCCTGTGGCCTGTGGCCCAGGGCTCAGTGGCCCAGGGCCCAGGGCCTGTGGCCTGTGGCCTAGTGGCCTGTGGCCTCAGTGGCCTAGGCCTAGTGGCCCAGCTCAGTGGCCTGGTGGCTCAGGCCCAGTGGCCCAGGGCTCAGTGGCCCAGGGCCTAGGCCTGTGGCCTGTGGCCTGTGGCCCAGGCCTGTGGCCCAGTGGCCCAGGGCCTAGTGGCCTGTGGCCTAGTGGCCCAGGGCCTAGTGGCCTGTGGCCTCAGGCCTAGGCCTGTGGCTCAGTGGCCCAGGGCTCAGGGCCCAGTGGCCCAGGGCTCAGGCCTGTGGCCTAGTGGCTCAGTGGCCTGGTGGCCCAGGGCTCAGTGGCCTAGGGCCTCAGGGCTCAGGCCCAGGGCCCAGGGCCTCAGGGCCCAGTGGCCTAGGGCTCAGGGCCTAGGCCTGTGGCCCAGGGCCTGTGGCCCAGGGCTCAGGGCTCAGTGGCCTAGGCCTGTGGCCTGTGGCTCAGGCCTGTGGCCCAGGGCTCAGTGGCCTGGTGGCCTGTGGCCTGTGGCCCAGGCTCAGGCCCAGGGCCCAGTGGCCCAGGCCCAGGGCCTAGGCCTGGTGGCCTAGGCCTGGTGGCCCAGGCCCAGGGCTCAGGCCTGTGGCCTAGGCCTAGTGGCCTAGGCCTGTGGCCTGTGGCCCAGGCCTAGGCTCAGTGGCCTGTGGCCTCAGGGCCCAGGGCCCAGGGCCCAGGCCTGTGGCCCAGGCTCAGGGCCTAGGCCCAGGGCTCAGTGGCCTGTGGCCTAGGGCCCAGGCCTGTGGCTCAGTGGCCTGGTGGCCTGGGCCCAGGGCCTAGGCCTGTGGCCCAGGCCTCAGGGCCCAGGCTCAGGGCCTAGGCCTGTGGCCCAGGGCCTAGGCCCAGGCCTAGGCCTAGGCCTAGGCCTAGGGCTCAGGGCCTGTGGCCCAGGCCTGGTGGCCTAGGCCCAGGTCAGGCTCAGTGGCCTGTGGCCTAGTGGCTCAGGGCCTGTGGCTCAGGGCTCAGGCCTGTGGCCCAGGGCTCAGTGGCCCAGGGCCTAGGGCTCAGGGCTCAGTGGCCTCAGGCCCAGGGCCCAGGGCCTCAGGCTCAGTGGCTCAGGGCCTGTGGCCTGGTGGCTCAGTGGCCTGTGGCCTAGGCCCAGTGGCCTCAGGGCCCAGTGGCCCAGTGGCCTAGGCCCAGGCCCAGGGCCTGTGGCCTAGGCCCAGGCCTGTGGCCTCAGGGCTCAGGCCCAGGGCCTAGGCCCAGGGCCTGGTGGCCTAGGCCCAGGGCCTGTGGCCCAGGGCCTCAGTGGCCCAGGGCCTGTGGCCTGTGGCTCAGTGGCCTGTGGCCCAGGCCCAGGGCCTAGGCCCAGGGCTCAGTGGCCCAGGCCTGTGGCCTGTGGCCTAGGCTCAGGGCCCAGGGCCTAGGGCCTAGGCCCAGGGCCTAGGCCTGTGGCCCAGGGCTCAGTGGCTCAGTGGCCTAGGCTCAGTGGCCTAGGCTCAGTGGCCTGTGGCTCAGTGGCCTAGGCCTAGGCCTGGTGGCCTGTGGCTCAGTGGCCCAGGCCTCAGGGCTCAGTGGCCTGTGGCTCAGGGCCTAGGGCTCAGTGGCCTAGGCCCAGGCTCAGTGGCCTAGGCCCAGTGGCCTGGGCTCAGGGCTCAGTGGCCCAGGCCTAGGCTCAGTGGCCCAGGGCCCAGGGCCCAGGGCCCAGTGGCCCAGGCCTGTGGCCTAGGGCCCAGGGCCCAGGCCCAGGGCCTGTGGCCTAGGGCCTGGGCTCAGGCCTAGTGGCCTAGGCCCAGTGGCCTGTGGCCTGTGGCCCAGTGGCCTAGGCCCAGGGCCTGTGGCCCAGGCTCAGGCCTAGGGCCTGTGGCCTGCGGCTCAGGCGCCCAGGGCCTAGGCCTGTGGCCTGTGGCCTAGGCCCAGGGCCTAGGCCCAGGCCTGTGGCCCAGTGGCCTGTGGCCTGTGGCCCAGGGCCTGTGGCCCAGGGCCTGTGGCCTAGGGCCTGGGCTCAGTGGCCTAGGCCCAGGGCCCAGGCCTGTGGCCTGTGGCCTGGTGGCCCAGGCCTAGGCCTGTGGCCTGTGGCCCAGGGCCTGTGGCCCAGGGCTCAGTGGCCTGTGGCCTAGGCCTGTGGCCTAGTGGCCCAGGCCTGTGGCCTAGGCCTAGTGGCTCAGGGCCTAGGCTCAGGCCTGTGGCCTAGGCCTGTGGCTCAGTGGCCTGTGGCCTAGGCCTAGGCCTGGGCCTGTGGCCTGTGGCCCAGGCCTGTGGCCCAGGGCTCAGGCCCAGGGCCCAGTGGCCTAGGGCTCAGTGGCCTGTGGCCTAGGCCCAGGGCTCAGGCTCAGTGGCCTGTGGCCCAGGGCCTGTGGCCCAGGCCTGTGGCCTGTGGCCTGGGGCTCAGGGCCTGTGGCCCAGGGCTCAGTGGCCCAGGGCCTGGTGGCCCAGGGCTCAGGCTCAGTGGCCCAGGGCTCAGTGGCCCAGGGCTCAGTGGCTCAGTGGCCTGGTGGCCTGTGGCCTAGGGCCTAGTGGCCTGTGGCTCAGGCCTAGGCCTAGGCCTGGTGGCTCAGTGGCCTGTGGCCTAGTGGCTCAGTGGCCTGTGGCCTAGGGCTCAGGCCTGGGCCCAGGGCTCAGGCTCAGGCCTCAGTGGCCTGTGGCCTGTGGCCCAGGGCTCAGGGCCCAGTGGCCTGTGGCCTGTGGCCTGTGGCCTGTGGCCTAGGCTCAGGGCTCAGGGCTCAGTGGCTCAGTGGCCCAGGGCTCAGGCCTGGCTGGCTCAGTGGCCTAGGCCCAGTGGCCTGTGGCCCAGGGCCTGTGGCCTGGCTAGGCTCAGTGGCCTGTGGCCTAGGCCTGTGGCCTAGGCCGTGGCCTGTGGCTCAGGGCTCAGGCCTGTGGCCTAGGCCTGTGGCCTGTGGCTCAGTGGCCTGTGGCCTAGTGGCCTAGGGCCCATGGCCCAGGGCCTAGGCTCAGGCGCCAGGGCCTGGTGGCCTAGGGCCTAGGCCTGTGGCCTAGGCCTGGTGGCCTCAGGGCTCAGGGCTCAGGCCTGTGGCCCAGGGCCTGGTGGCTCAGTGGCCTAGTGGCCTGTGGCCTCAGGGCTCAGGGCTCAGTGGCCCAGGGCCCAGGGCCTGTGGCTCAGGGCTCAGGGCCTGTGGCCTATGGCCTGTGGCCTGTGGCCTAGTGGCCTAGGCCCAGGGCCCAGTGGCCTAGTGGCCCAGGGCCCAGGGCCTAGGCCTGTGGCCCAGGGCCCAGGGCCTGTGGCCCAGGGCTCAGGCCTGGGCTCAGGGCCTGTGGCCTAGTGGCCTAGTGGCCCAGGGCCCAGGGCCTCAGGGCCTGTGGCCTAGTGGCCCAGGGCCTGTGGCCCAGGGCCTAGGGCTCAGTGGCCTAGGCCCAGTGGCCCAGGGCCTAGGCCTGTGGCCTGTGGCCTAGGCCCAGGGCCTGTGGCCCAGGCCCAGGCCTAGGCCTGTGGCCTGGCTAGGGCTCAGGGCTCAGGCTCAGGCCTGTGGCCTGTGGCTCAGTGGCCTGTGGCCTAGGGCCTGTGGCCCAGGGCCTCAGTGGCTCAGGGCCTAGGCCCAGGGCCTAGGCCTGTGGCCTGGTGGCCCAGGGCCTGTGGCCCAGGGCCCAGGCCTAGGCCCAGGGCTCAGTGGCCTGTGGCCCAGGGCCTAGTGGCCTAGGCTCAGGGCTCAGGGCCTAGGGCCTAGTGGCCCAGTGGCCTGTGGCCTAGTGGCCTAGGCCTAGGCTCAGTGGCCTGTGGCCTGTGGCCCAGGGCCCAGTGGCCTAGGGCCCAGGGCCCAGGGCCCAGGGCCTAGTGGCCCAGTGGCCTAGGGCCTAGTGGCCCAGGGCCTAGTGGCCTAGGGCCTGTGGCCCAGGGCTCTAGTGGCCTAGTGGCCCAGGCCTCAGGGCCTGGTGGCCTGTGGCCCAGGGCCTAGTGGCCCAGGGCCTGTGGCCTAGGGCTCAGGCCTCAGGCCTGGGCCTGTGGCCCAGGGCCTAGGGCCTAGGGCCTAGGGCCCAGGGCCTGGGCCTAGGCTCAGGGCCTGTGGCCTGGCCTAGGGCCTAGTGGCCTGGGCTCAGGCTCAGGGCCTGGGCTCAGGCTGGGCTCAGGGCCTGTGGCCCAGTGGCCTGGGCCTAGGGCTCAGGGCCTAGTGGCCTAGGGCTCAGGCCTGAGGGCTCAGGGCCCAGGGCCTGTGGCCCAGGGCTGTGGCCCAGGGCCTAGTGGCCCAGTGGCCTAGGCCTGTGGCCTAGTGGCCTCAGGGCCCAGTGGCCCAGGCTCAGGGCCTGTGGCCTGTGGCCTGTGGCCTAGTGGCCTAGTGGCCTCAGGGCCTGTGGCCTGTGGCCCAGTGGCCTAGGCCTGTAGGGCTCAGGGCTCAGGGCTCAGGGCCTGTGGCCCAGGGCCCAGGGCCTGTGGCCTAGGCCTGTGGCCCAGTGGCCTAGGCCCAGGGCTCAGTGGCCCAGGCCTAGTGGCCCAGGGCCTCAGGCCTAGGCCTGTGGCCTGTGGCCCAGGGCCTAGGCTCAGGCCTAGGCCTGTGGCCTGTGGCCCAGGGCCTGTGGCCTAGGGCCTAGGCCTAGGCCTGTGGCTCAGTGGCCCAGGGCTCAGTGGCCCAGGCCTAGTGGCCTGTGGCCTAGTGGCCCAGTGGCTCAGGGCTCAGTGGCCTAGGCCTAGTGGCCTAGGGCCTGTGGCCTAGTGGCCTGTGGCTCAGGGCTCAGTGGCCCAGGGCCCAGGGCCCAGGGCTCAGGGCCCAGTGGCCTGTGGCCTAGGGCCCAGGGCTCAGTGGCCTAGGCCCAGGGCCTAGGGCCTAGGCCTGTGGCCCAGGGCCTAGGCCTAGGGCCTAGTGGCCCAGGCCTAGTGGCCCAGTGGCCCAGGCTCAGTGGCCTAGTGGCCTAGGCCCAGGCCTAGGGCCCAGGGCCCAGTGGCCTCAGGCCTGTGGCCCAGGGCTCAGGCCTAGTGGCCTGTGGCCTAGGGCCTGTGGCCTAGTGGCCTCAGGCCTAGGGCCCAGGGCTCAGGCCCATGGCCTGGTGGCCTAGGGCTCAGTGGCCTCAGGGCCTGGTGGCCCAGGGCCTCAGGGCTCAGGGCCCAGGGCCTCAGGCCTGTGGCCCAGTGGCCTGTGGCCTGGGCCCAGGCTCAGTGGCCTGTGGCCTAGGGCCTGGTGGCCCAGGCCTCAGGGCCCAGTGGCCCAGGGCCCAGGGCTCAGGCCCAGGGCCTAGTGGCCCAGTGGCCCAGGGCCTGTGGCCTGTGGCCCAGGGCCTAGTGGCCCAGGGCTCAGGCCTAGGCCTGTGGCCTAGGCCCAGTGGCCTAGGGCCTGTGGCCTAGGCCTAGTGGCCTGTGGCCTGTGGCCCAGGCCTAGGGCCTAGGGCTCAGTGGCCTGTGGCCCAGGGCCTGGTGGCCCAGGGCCCAGGCCTAGGCCTCAGGGCCCAGTGGCCTGGGCTCAGGCCCAGGGCCCAGGCTCAGGGCCCAGTGGCCTGTGGCCCAGTGGCCTAGGCCTGGGCCCAGTGGCCTCAGTGGCCTGGTGGCCTGTGGCCCAGGGCCCAGGGCCCAGGGCCTGTGGCCTGTGGCCCAGGGCCTGTGGCCTAGTGGCCTGTGGCCCAGGCTCAGGCTCAGGCCCAGTGGCCCAGTGGCCCAGGGCCCAGTGGCCTAGGCCTGTGGCCCAGGGCCTGTGGCCCAGGGCCTCAGGCCTGTGGCCCAGGGCTCAGGCCCAGGGCCTGTGGCCTGTGGCCCAGTGGCCTAGTGGCCTCAGTGGCCTAGTGGCCTAGGGCCTGTGGCTCAGTGGCCCAGGGCCCAGTGGCCTGTGGCCCAGTGGCCTAGGGCTCAGGGCCCAGTGGCCTGGTGGCCTAGGGCCTAGGGCCCAGTGGCCTGTGGCCTGTGGCCCAGGGCCTGTGGCCCAGGGCCCAGGGCCTGTGGCCCAGGGCCTGTGGCCCAGGGCCTAGTGGCTCAGTGGCCCAGGGCCTAGTGGCCTCAGGGCCTAGTGGCCTAGTGGCCTGTGGCCTGTGGCCCAGTGGCCTGTGGCCTGTGGCCCAGGGCCTGTGGCCCAGGGCCTCAGTGGCCTGTGGCCTAGTGGCCTGTGGCCCAGGGCCTAGGCTCAGGGCCCAGGGCCTGTGGCCTAGTGGCTCAGGGCCTGTGGCCCAGGGCCTAGGCCTAGGCCCAGGGCCCAGTGGCCCAGGGCCTAGGCCTGTGGCCCAGGGCCTAGGCTCAGGCCTAGGCCTAGTGGCCTGAGGCCTCAGGGCCCAGGCCTAGGCCCAGTGGCCTAGTGGCCCAGGGCCCAGGCCTCAGTGGCCTAGTGGCCCAGGGCCCAGGGCTCAGGGCCTGGGCCTAGTGGCCCAGGGCCTAGGGCCCAGGGCTCAGGCCTGTGGCCTGTGGCCTCAGTGGCCTGTGGCCTAGTGGCCCAGGGCCTGTGGCCTAGTGGCCCAGGCCTGGGCTCAGGGCCCAGTGGCCCAGGCCTGGGCCTGTGGCCCAGGGCCCAGTGGCCTGTGGCCTGGTGGCCCAGTGGCCCAGGGCCCAGGGCTCAGGCCCAGGGCCCAGGCCCAGGCTCAGGGCCTCAGTGGCCTGTGGCTCAGTGGCCCAGGGCCTAGGGCCTAGGGCCTGTGGCCCAGGGCCCAGGGCCCAGGGCCTGTGGCCTGTGGCCTCAGGGCCTGGTGGCCTCAGGCCCAGGGCCCAGTGGCCTGTGGCCCAGTGGCCTCAGGCCTAGGGCTCAGGGCCTGTGGCCCAGGGCTCAGGGCCTAGTGGCCCAGGGCCCAGTGGCCCAGGGCCTGAGGCCTAGGGCCCAGGGCCTGTGGCCTCAGTGGCCTGGTGGCCCAGGCCCAGGGCTCAGGGCCCAGGCCCAGTGGCCTAGTGGCCCAGGGCTCAGGCTCAGGGCCCAGTGGCCCAGTGGCCTAGGGCCCAGTGGCCCAGGGCTCAGGCCTGGGCTCAGTGGCCTGTGGCTCAGGGCTCAGGCCTGTGGCCTGCTAGGCTCAGTGGCCTAGTGGCCTAGTGGCCTGTGGCCTGTGGCCCAGGGCTCAGGGCCTAGGGCTCAGGCCTGGTGGCCCAGGCTCAGTGGCCTCAGGCCTGGGCTCAGGCCTGTGGCCCAGTGGCTCAGGGCCTGTGGCCTCAGGGCCTGGTGGCCTGTGGCCCAGGGCCTGTGGCCTCAGGCCTCAGTGGCCCAGGGCCTAGTGGCCCAGTGGCCCAGGGCCCAGGCCTGTGGCCTAGTGGCCCAGGGCCTAGGCCCAGTGGCCCAGGGCCTAGTGGCCTGTGGCCCAGGGCCCAGGGCTCAGGGCCTGTGGCCTAGTGGCCTAGTGGCCTAGTGGCCCAGGCCTCAGGGCCCAGTGGCCTGTGGCCCAGGGCTCAGTGGCCTAGGCCTGTGGCTCAGGGCTCAGGGCTCAGGGCCTGTGGCCTGTGGCCCAGTGGCCTAGGCCTAGGCCTAGTGGCCTCAGGGCTCAGGGCCCAGGGCCCAGGGCCTAGGCCTAGTGGCCCAGGGCCTGTGGCCCAGGGCTCAGGCTCAGGCCTGTGGCCTCAGGGCCTGTGGCCTGGTGGCTCAGGGCTCAGGGCCTAGTGGCCTAGGGCCTGTGGCCTAGGGCTCAGTGGCTCAGGGCCTAGTGGCCTGTGGCCTGTGGCCTCAGTGGCTCAGTGGCCTGTGGCCTGGTGGCTCAGGGCTCAGGGCTCAGGGCCCAGGGCTCAGTGGCCTGTGGCCTGTGGCTCAGGGCCCAGGGCCTGTGGCCTCAGTGGCCCAGGGCCCAGGGCCCAGGGCCTAGTGGCCTAGGCCCAGGGCCTGTGGCCTAGGGCCCAGTGGCCTGTGGCCCAGGGCCCAGGGCCTGTGGCCCAGGGCCTGTGGCCCAGGGCCCAGGCCCAGTGGCCCAGGGCCTGTGGCCCAGGGCCCAGGGCCCAGGGCTCAGTGGCCTGTGGCCTAGTGGCCTAGTGGCCTCAGTGGCCCAGGCCCAGGGCCTAGGGCTCAGGCCCAGTGGCCTGTGGCCTAGGCCTGTGGCCTGTGGCCCAGGGCCTGGTGGCCCAGGGCCCAGGGCCCAGGCCTGTGGCCTGTGGCTCAGGCTCAGTGGCCTGTGGCCTAGGGCCCAGTGGCCTGTGGCCTAGGCTCAGGGCCTGTGGCCCAGGGCCCAGGGCCTAGTGGCCCAGGGCCTAGTGGCCTAGGGCTCAGGCCTAGTGGCTCAGGGCTCAGGGCCTGTGGCCCAGGGCCCAGGCTCAGGCCCAGGCTCAGTGGCCCAGGCCTGGTGGCCTGTGGCCTAGTGGCCTGTGGCCCAGGGCCTCAGTGGCCCAGGGCCTAGTGGCCTGTGGCCCAGGGCCTAGGCCTGTGGCCTAGGCTCAGGGCTCAGTGGCCCAGGGCCCAGTGGCCCAGGGCTCAGGCTCAGGGCCTGTGGCCCAGGGCCTCAGGGCCCAGGGCCTGTGGCCCAGGCCCAGGGCCCAGTGGCCCAGTGGCCTGTGGCCCAGGGCCTGGGCCCAGGGCCTAGTGGCCTGTGGCCCAGGGCTCAGGCCTGTGGCCTAGTGGCCCAGGGCCCAGGGCCTGTGGCCTGTGGCCTAGTGGCCCAGGGCCCAGGGCCTAGTGGCCCAGGCCTGTGGCCTAGTGGCCTAGTGGCCTGTGGCCCAGGCCTCAGGCCCAGGGCTCAGTGGCCTAGGGCCCAGGGCCCAGGGCCCAGTGGCCCAGGGCCTAGGGCCTAGTGGCCTAGGCTCAGTGGCCTGTGGCCTGTGGCCTCAGTGGCCTGTGGCCCAGGGCCTGTGGCCTGTGGCCCAGGGCCTGTGGCCTAGGGCTCAGTGGCCTGTGGCCTAGTGGCTCAGTGGCCTAGGGCTCAGGCCTGTGGCTCAGTGGCCCAGGGCCTAGGCCCAGGGCCTGTGGCCTAGGGCCTGTGGCTCAGTGGCCTGGGGCTCAGGGCTCAGGGCCCAGGCCTAGGCCTAGTGGCCTGTGGCCCAGGGCCCAGGGCCTGTGGCCCAGTGGCCTGTGGCCCAGGGCCCAGGGCCCAGTGGCCTAGGCCTAGGCCCAGGGCCTAGTGGCCCAGGGCCCAGTGGCCCAGGGCCTGTGGCCTAGGGCCCAGTGGCCTGTGGCCCAGGGCCTGGGCTCAGGCCCAGTGGCCTAGTGGCCTGGGCCTGGGCCCAGGGCCTAGGCTCAGGCTCAGGGCCCAGGGCCCAGGGCCTGGGCCCAGGGCCTCAGGGCCCAGGGCCTGTGGCCCAGGCCTGTGGCCCAGGGCTCAGTGGCCTAGTGGCCCAGGGCCTCAGTGGCCTCAGTGGCCTGGTGGCCTAGTGGCCTGTGGCCTGGTGGCCTAGGGCTCAGTGGCCCAGGGCCCAGGCCTAGTGGCCTAGTGGCCTGTGGCCTAGTGGCCTATGGCCCAGTGGCCTGTGGCCCAGGGCTCAGTGGCTCAGTGGCCCAGGGCCTCAGTGGCCCAGTGGCCCAGGGCCTGTGGCTCAGGGCTCAGGCCTGTGGCCTGTGGCCTAGTGGCTCAGGGCCTAGGGCCTCAGGGCCTGTGGCCTAGGGCCTAGTGGCCCAGGGCCTGGTGGCCCAGGGCCCAGGGCCCAGGGCCCAGGGCCCAGGGCCTGTGGCCTAGGGCCCAGGGCTCAGGGCCTAGTGGCCTGTGGCCCAGGCCTGTGGCCTGTGGCCTAGGGCTCAGGGCCTGTGGCCTGGGCCCAGGCCTGTGGCCTAGTGGCCTCAGGGCTCAGGGCCTAGTGGCCCAGGGCCTAGGCCTAGTGGCCTGTGGCCTGTGGCTCAGGGCCTGGTGGCCCAGGGCCCAGTGGCCCAGGGCCTGTGGCCTAGGGCCTGTGGCCTAGGCCCAGTGGCCTGGTGGCCTGTGGCCTAGGGCCTGTGGCTCAGTGGCCCAGGGCTCAGTGGCCTGTGGCCTAGGGCCCAGGGCCTGTGGCCTGTGGCCTAGGGCCCAGGGCTCAGGGCCTGTGGCCTGTGGCCCAGGGCCTGTGGCCTAGGGCTCAGGGCCTAGTGGCCTGTGGCCTGTGGCCTAGGCCTGTGGCCTAGTGGCCTAGTGGCCCAGGGCCTAGTGGCCCAGGGCCCAGTGGCCTGTGGCCCAGGCCTAGGGCCCAGTGGCCCAGGGCTCAGGGCCTAGTGGCCTGTGGCCCAGGCCTAGTGGCCCAGGGCTCAGGGCCTGGGCCCAGGCCTGTGGCCTAGTGGCCTGTGGCCCAGGGCCCAGGGCCCAGTGGCCTGTGGCCCAGGCCTAGGCCCAGGCCCAGGGCCTGTGGCCTGTGGCCTCAGGCCTGTGGCTCAGGGCCTGTGGCCCAGGCCTCAGGGCCTGGGCCTAGGCCTCAGTGGCCTAGGGCCCAGGGCTCAGTGGCCTGTGGCTCAGGGCTCAGGCCTAGTGGCCTCAGTGGCCCAGGGCTCAGGCCCAGTGGCCTGTGGCCTGTGGCCTAGGGCTCAGGGCTCAGTGGCCTAGGCCCAGGGCCTAGTGGCTCAGGGCCTAGGCCCAGGTGGCCCAGTGGCCCAGGGCTCAGTGGCCTAGTGGCCTAGGGCCTAGGCCTAGGGCCTGTGGCCCAGTGGCCTAGGCCTAGGCCCAGGGCCTGTGGCTCAGTGGCCTAGGCTCAGGGCCCAGGGCTCAGTGGCCCAGGGCCTGTGGCCTGTGGCCTGGGCTCAGTGGCCCAGGGCCTGTGGCCTGTGGCCCAGGGCTCAGTGGCCTCAGTGGCCCAGGGCCTGGGCTCAGGCCCAGGGCTCAGGCCTGTGGCCCAGGCCCAGGGCCCAGGCCTAGGCCCAGGGCCCAGGGCCTGTGGCCTGGGCCCAGGCCCAGTGGCCCAGGGCCCAGTGGCCCAGGCCTAGGGCCTGTGGCCCAGTGGCCTAGGCCCAGGGCCCAGGGCCCAGGGCCTGGTGGCCCAGGGCCCAGTGGCCTGTGGCCCAGGGCCCAGGGCCCAGGCCTCAGTGGCCTGGTGGCCCAGGCCTGTGGCCCAGGGCCCAGGGCTCAGGGCCTAGTGGCCTGTGGCCTAGGGCCCAGGGCCCAGGCCCAGGGCCCAGGGCCTGTGGCCTAGGCCCAGGGCCTGTGGCCCAGGGCCCAGGGCTCGGGCTCAGGCCTAGGGCTCAGGCCTGTGGCCTAGGGCCTCAGGTGGCCCAGTGGCCCAGGGCTCAGTGGCCTAGGCCTGTGGCTCAGGCCTAGTGGCCTAGTGGCCTAGTGGCTCAGTGGCCCAGGCCTAGGGCTCAGGCTCAGGGCCTAGTGGCCCAGGCTCAGGGCCTAGGCCTGTGGCCTAGGCCTGTGGCCAGGCTCAGGGCTCAGGGCTCAGTGGCCTGTGGCCTAGTGCCCAGGCCTGTGGCCCAGGCCTAGGCTCTCAGGCTTAGGCTTTGGTGGTTTGTGGTTTGTGGGCTATTGTGGTTTCAGGCTGTGGGCCTGTAGGCCTAGGCTTGGAGCCTAGGTTTGTGGTTAGGCTTAGGCTTGTGGTTTAGGTTTAAGGTTCTAGGTGACCTAAACCCTAAACCTCAAACCCTAAAACCCTAGAACCCCTAAACCCCTAAACCCCTATAAACCCTAAAACCCTAAAACCCTAAACCCTAAACCCTAAACCCTAAACCCTAAACCCTAAACCCTAAACCCTAAAAAACCCTAAACCCTAAACCCTAAACCCTAAACCCTAAACCCTAAACCCTAAACCCTAAACCCTAAACCCTAAACCCTAAACCCTAAACCCTAAAAACCCTAAACCCTAAACCCTAAACCCTAAACCCTAAACCCTAAACCCTAAACCCTAAAACCCTAAACCCCAAACCCTAAACCCTAAACCCTAAACCCTAAACCCTAAACCCTAAACCCTAAACCCTAAAACCCTAAACCCTAAAACCCTAAACCCCAAACCCTAAACCCCTAAACCCTAAACCCTAAACCCTAAACCCTAAACCCTAAACCCTAAACCCTAAACCCTAAACCCTAAACCCTAAACCCTAAACCCTAAACCCTAAACCCTAAAACCCTAAACCCTAAAACCCTAAACCCTAAACCCTAAACCCTAAACCCCTAAACCCTAAAACCCTAAACCCTAAACCCTAAACCCCAAACCCTAAAACCCTAAACCCTAAACC